GCTTATTTCATCCATCCTTCTAAAACATGCTCAAAGCGCCATATTATTGCCCCCGTCAACGAATCGGTGAAGTCGAATTTCATTCTCAGCTCCAAGGAGACACCACATGTGACATGTGTTTCAGTGTGGGACAAGAAAGAAGTCCTAGAAACTCTGAAGAGCCAAACTGCGGAACACGGTCTGTCACCCATCCACCTGCTCTCCGCGACCAACTCTTCTTAATTTCGCCTGATTATGGACCTGTACGCTGTAGACAGGACCAAGTCGAGGTGTCACATAAAGCATTGCCATTAGTTCTATAGTCTAGCCTGTTATTGCATGATATTGTGGTTCTGAGGTCAAGAGTGGCTAAATATAGACCACAGACAACGTTAGTAAAATAGCTTTGAGTGGCAAAATGTCATCCATGTGGTACGTTACACCGATTGATGATGCGACGTACAGCTATTTTCTTACGCTACTGTAAAAACAGGTTGTTCATGCAGTGTAACATGTGCATATAACACGGAGAACCCCTGGGACATATTACTTGTCTTTCGTAACCTGTGATATTTTCGGCATGTCTCATGAATCCAAAAGACCTATGAGCTAAAATATCATTAATGCCATCTCTCTATTTCCCAGGGTACTGCGAACATGTTGTCAATAAATCGTAGATGCCAATACTGTAAATAATTGATGCAATTGAGACAGCTGCATGGCTGTAGGACATAAGGACATGGATGGACGTGGGATGTGGATGAGTTATTTCGAACGTGTCAAACAGGGAACACCCATTAATATATTAATGAATCGTACAGCTACAGGTCATGAAAGTGTAGCTGTCCACATACATTATTTGATGGACCACCACCGTGATGGAGTGTATAGAGTCTGCTCCGTGAGCGGACGGTAGGTGTTTCGACCCCTGGCCACGTCAGCAGACGTTAAACCACTGACATTATTGAAGGCTCTGTCCAAGAGGTTAAAGTACCATAAAAAATGACTGTCCCCCTGTATGACACGTAATTCGTCATATTCGATGTAACTGTCATCGGCCCGAGTTTAAAGCCAACCCATTGCTGAGTATTTTTAATATTGTCTAGTATTGAGCACAACCACCAGCAGCTTAAGTGATGACGTAAATCATGCTGGGGTATCGTGCAGGAAATAGAGGCACCGCACGTCCCCATGATCCCCAGCGAGGTGACCTAGCTTAGGTTACCGGTGGCCTATAGCCCGTGTATAAACTGTATAAATGATATTTTTATGCCAAAATATGTTTGATAATATTTGTTTTTAGACATAGCTTTGCACTCATGACTCACCTGTGACTATGTCAACTTGGTTTCGTCGCTGTATGGCTGAAATAATGTCCATGCGACGTTAAATTTTAACTCACTCACCCTTCCTGGTTTTCGGCATCAAATGGTAAAACAAGGACTTCACGGCCATGAGTCAGTATAACGTGTCTAAGTAATATCATCTCAATAAGTTAGCTCTTAAAAACCGACATCCAACCTACCGACTGCCAGTCAACAACATTCTAAAGCAATTTCATTTTACTTCTATATCTATATATCTATACACATACTTATTATCACCTTTGAATGATCGGCAAACACTTATCATCACCACAGGTTCATTGGCAACTTAGGAAATCACCATCGCCATGTTGATCGCGGCAGCCAATTTGAAGGCTTGATCATCTTCAGGTAACTGCATGACAACACCTTGTAAACCCGTGAAGATACGGGTTAGAATAGGTCTTCAGCAACCCATGCTTGCAGGAAAGGGGGATTTCTTGTAAGATGCGACTAACGGGATCCGGATCCGGGATCTTGGTTGATGCAGGTCATCGTATCCCAGTTAGGTGTATCGATGCTCATGATATCAATCACTGGATTGTCTGGTACAGACTCGATTATTTACAGACCGCCGTCATATAGCTGGAATATTGCTGAGTGCGACGTTAAACAATAAGCAAACAACACATTGTAGCGGTCACTGACATGCTAAGGTACAGTGAGTGAGTATGTTTTTATATTCCTGAAACATCACGGTCGGGAACACCAGAAATGAACTTCACACAATGTATCCATTTAGGGAATCGAACCCGGGTTTTTCGGCGTGACGAGCGAATGTTTTAACCACTAGGCTACCCCATCGCCCTGTTAAGGTACTTTTTCATGCTTACAGGCTGGATTGGAACCAAATCTAATTCGCACACGCTCAAAGGAACATTAAACATTTACTAAAACATATCCAACACTACACGTACTTGGTTTTGACATTGGAGATGAATTCCACTACAACTTCCCAATGTAAATATTTCAGTGCACTCGGCCTGAAGGAATCAAGTGTTGTTCTGTTCTGGCAGCAACAAGAGGATAAAGAACCTGAATTCTAGAAGGAAAAATCGTAATATCAAATCAATTCGAAACACAATAAAGAAGTTGTTATCCATAAATTGTGTCTACCTTTGCTCCCAAACGTGGCAAGCTAAATGCAATTAATGACCACGTCATGTCTGCTCTGAGTGACGTTTAACACCACCACGGGGATGTTTTCTACATCGGTGTGATCCAAGCACTACGTCATCGTTAGCGGAAGTGTGTGGACCGGTACCATGTTGGGCGCTGAACTTTACTGCCACCCCTCGCATTTCTTAACAATATAACTCATATGATAATTTAATAAGTTGAATGAAGTTGTTCTTACAAAACGACACAAGCGTTTGCTGAAGAGCCTGTCCATGCCATTTCACGTTTCGAGGAACAATTTTACCCCAATGATACAGTTGGTTGTTGTAAGGCTGTCAGTGTAAACATGGGGGCACGGGTGGCCCAGTCGTCTAAGGCGCCGCGATTCGCTGTGCAGAGTTGCGTCCCTTGGGCACGCCAGAAACCTATGACTGTGGGTTCGAATCCCGGTTCGCGCCAATTATGTTTCTAGGTTCGTCAGCACCATACCCGTGCTCGTGGGTTTCACCAAAGTGGTAAACGTCTTAGGCATGCATCACTTCGGGCTTTCCTCCCATATTAAGCTGACACGCCGTGATATAACTGGAATAATGTTAAAAGCGGCGTTAAACTCACTCACTCACACACTCACTCATTGTAAACATGAAGTCACACGTACTCATTGAAATTCTGTATACATCCTTCGAGGTACAGAATATGGAATTCATTTTGTGTGCGTCCATTGGAGTATGCCCCTTCATAGAGCGAGGGCCAAACATTCTTCACTTATGAACTCACACAAAGTGAAAGTCTATTCTAAAACACCACCAACAACAACAATGTTGTCTTGTTCAAGTGGTGGTATCCTTGACCATGCTTTCATATAGATATTCTGTGATGTTCATCGTGTGATGAAAGTTTCCTATGACGCTCAGGATGCGTAATAGTTATCAATATTGGTGAATGAGTGTATGGTAGGAGTGAAGGCTATTGATTACCTAGCCTGAAAGGATACACACCAACAGTTAGGCGTATATCTCAATGACCGTAATTTGCGATGGTGAACCCTTTAACTGATTCTCTTGATCGCGGTTTCGATTTTGTCTGGTGGTAGCGTGCAGTCTCTATATAGTCAGAGCAAACATACAATCTTCTTGTATACAGATGATAGTAGTAAAGAGACAAAATGAATCGTGGTTAGGAGATTCGCGAAAGGAAAGAATGTATACGTTGGTGCTGAAACACCATTCTTCTCCTTTTTTCTTCTCCTGTTGCCCTTCCTCTAACTCATCCTTGTGTCCTCCCTTGCTGCCTATAATCCTATACTCCGAGAAAACAATAAAGAATATCATTTTGGATCAGTATGTATGTCCTTCATTTTCACAATAATCCATCATTTTCACAATTATATTTCTAATATTCTCATAAGTAAAATCATCATTATGCGTTTCAATACCTGAGCAGAGAAAATTCTGAACTTTCTGCACTACTAAACTATTTGCTTCTCTGCATTCACGCTGTCACACTTATAGGGACTCAAATGTGTCCAGCACGAAAACGTAGTACAATAAGTGAAAAACTTGATACCGCCAGTTCCGTTCAAACCTTTCATACTGTACCTAATAGCTAAGGTTCAAGCTGCGCCCCACTCGTCTAGGACTTCAATGCTGACAGAGTGTCGGCCGTTTTTAGGAGCACGAGACGCCTGGTAATTCCATCAAACATACTTCCATCTCTTACAGGGGCTTTAAATGCTCCACCGCTGGCAAAAGAACATAGCGTGTGAAATATAATCACTATGAGCAGAAGGATTACACAAACGTTTGCATTTTTCTTTCGAGGCGTTATGTTTTAGTACCTTGCTTGTTGGTAGCAAGGGACGGTCCGTCCGTGTTTTATCATATTGTATTCACACGACAGGGATCGGTTTACAATTAATACATCAAATGACAGAGACGACAGAGGATCAAGTGTGAATACAATAGTTGTGAACATATTTCCACTGGACTGGCAATGGAGATGTGACTATAAATGAATGTATCTTTAAAGTTGTTCGATTGTTTATTTATCCTGCAACATTATTTAATACTTTATGACAACATGCATACGTCTGATCCTTATTCTTTCTCTGTCCCTTCTTTCTCTCTATTGTATAAGTTGTAATTGTATGTCGTAACTATTATTGAGTGGTGTTCCAAGTTGGACATCTTGTACCTATTGTGAATAAAATATGTTTTAAACAGAGAAAGAAAGATAGATGAGACAAAAGTATTCACATTAACATTGCAAAGTCAAACCTTGTATTTTTTCTTTGTTTACGTATTAAGTACCCTCTTAAAGACGTTTTTGTTCATAAGATTACATCTTCCCGAGGCAAGGGAGTTACCTGACTGTAAAAGTCCAGTTTCCACCGTTAGCGAACTAGGCTTGAATTTCTAGGCTCGACCGTAGCGCCACCAGTGGCTGTTACGAGTTATGTCCCTTCTATGTCCCTTCTATATCCCTTCTATTGACCAATCACATTCCACTTCTCATATCACTTGCATTTGTTTAAAAAGAATGGCGGCTCCCAAGTCAAGACGATCTGATCGGTAATCAAAAGCTTTATTGTGATAAAACAGGTCTTACTTCGCGAAGTGCATCAAACTAACATGAGCACCTTGATTAAAAAGATGAAAAGATTTGTTCGATTCTGAGTTAGTGGTACACATGTTTTGCAAATCCTGCGATGGACCGAAATCTGCTTGGCAGTTTACGAACCTGATGTCGATTTCGTTTCGCGAATTTGATTGGACAATGCATAGACTCGTTAGTCCAGCCAAAATATAACTCGATAATTCTCGCCTAGTTCGATTCGGCAAGGGTGGAAACTGGACATTTATAGTCTCGGGAACATGATATGATTAGGGTTCAGTGCATTACCAACTGACATATTATCACTTATTATCACACGATTTATATCCAGGTTTTAACTGACAGGCAACTTCAAGTCCGCATGGGTGCTACCCTGTCTGATCATTATTGTCACCATCAGGGTGTCCAACAGGGCCGTATGTTGTCTGTCACATTGTTTAGAATGTTTATACCCCCTCAGTCCCTTCCGCTGTCTGTCGTTTGTCCCCCTGTCTATACCCCCTCAGTCCCTTCCTCTATCTGTCGTTTGTCCCCCTGTCCCTCTGGCTATACCCCCTCAGTCCCTTCCTCTATCTGTCGTTTGTCCCCCTGTCCTTCTGTCTATACCCCCTCAGGTCCTTCCTCTGTCTGTCGTTTGTCCCCCTGTCCCTCTGTCTATACCCCCTCAGTCCCTTCCTCTATCTGTCGTTTGTCCCCCTGTCCCTCTGTCTATACCCCCTCAGTCCCTTCCTCTATCTGTCGTTTGTCCCCCTGTCCCTCTGTCTATACCCCCTCAGGTCCTTCCTGTATCTGTCGTTTGTCCCCCTGTCCCTCTGTCTAAACCCCCTCAGTCCCTTCCTCTATCTGTCGTTTGTCCCCCTGTCCCTCTGTCTATACCCCCTCAGTCCCTTCCTCTATCTGTCGTTTGTCCCCCTGTCCCTCTGTCTATACCCCCTCAGTCCCTTCCTCTATCTGTCGTTTGTCCCCCTGTCCCTCTGTCTATACCCCCTCAGGTCCTTCCTCTGTCTGTCGTTTGTCCCCCTGTCCCTCTGTCTATACCCCCTCAGTCCCTTCCTCTGTCTGTCGTTTGTCCCCCTGTCCCTCTGTCTATACCCCCTCAGGTCCTTCCTCTGTCTGTCGTTTGTCCCCCTGTCCCTCTGTATATACCCCCTCAGTCCCTTCCTCTATCTGTCGTTTGTCCCCCTGTCCCTCTGTCTATACCCCCACGGTCCCTTCCTCTATCTGTCGTTTGTCCCCCTGTCCCTCTGTCTATACCCCGTCAGTCCCTTCCTCTATCTGTCGTTTGTCCCCCTGTCCCTCTGTCTATACCCCCTCAGTCCCTTCCTCTATCTGTCGTTTGTCCCCCTGTCCCTCTGTCTATACCCCCTCAGTCCCTTCCTCTATCTGTCGTTTGTCCCCCTGTCCCTCTGTCTATACCCCCTCAGGTCCTTCCTTTGTCTGTCGTTTGTCCCCCTGTCCCTCTGTCTATACCCCCTCAGTCCCTTCCTCTAGATCTATCTGTCGTATGTCCCCCTGTCCCTCTGTCTATACCCCCTCAGGTCCTTCCTCTGTCTGTCGTTAGTCCCCCTGTCACTCTGTCTATACCCCCTCAGTCCCTTCCTCTATCTGTCGTTTGTCCCCCTGTCCCTCTGTCTATACCCCATCAGTCCCTTCCTCTATCTGTCGTTTGTCCCCCTCTCCCTCTGTCTATACCCCCTCAGTCCCTTCCTCTATCTGTCGTTTGTCCCCCTGTCCCTCTGTCTATACCCCCTCAGGCCCTTCCTCTATCTGTCGTTTGTCCCCCTGTCCCTCTGTCTATACCCCCTCAGGTCCTTCCTCTGTCTGTCGTTAGTCCCCCTGTCACTCTGTCTATACCCCCTCAGTCCCTTCCTCTATCTGTCGTTTGTCCCCCTGTCCCTCTGTCTATACCCCATCAGTCCCTTCCTCTATCTGTCGTTTGTCCCCCTCTCCCTCTGTCTATACCCCCTCAGTCCCTTCCTCTATCTGTCGTTTGTCCCCCTGTCCCTCTGTCTATACCCCCTCAGGCCCTTCCTCTATCTGTCGTTTGTCCCCCTCTCCCTCTGTCTATACCCCCTCAGTCCCTTCCTCTATCTGTCGTTTGTCCCCCTGTCCCTCTGTCTATACCCCCTCAGTCCCTTCCTCTATCTGTCGTTTGTCCCCCTGTCCCTCTGTCTATACCCCCTCAGTCCCTTCCTCTATCTGTCGTTTGTCCCCCTGTCCCTCTGTCTATACCCCCTCAGTCCCTTCCTCTATCTGTCGTTTGTCCCCCTGTCCCTCTGTCTATACCCCCTCAGGTCCTTCCTCTGTCTGTCGTTTGACCCCCTGCCCCTTTGTCTATACCCCCTCAGGTCCTTCCTCTGTCTGTCGTTTGTCCCCCTGTCCCTCTGTCTATACCCCCTCAGTCCCTTCCTCTATCTGTCGTTTGTCCCCCTGCCCCTCTGTCTATACCCCCTCAGGTCCTTCCTCTGTCTGTCGTTTGTCCCCCTGCCCCTCTGTCTATACCCCCTCAGTCCCTTCCTCTATCTGTCGTTTGTCCCCCTGTCCCTCTGTCTATACCCCCTCAGGTCCTTCCTCTGTCTGTCGTTTGTCCCCCTGTCCCTCTGTCTATACCCCCTCGGTCCCTTCCTCTATCTGTCGTTTGTCCCCCTGTCTTTACCCCCTCAGTCCCTTCCTCTATCTGTCGTTTGTCCTCCTGTCCCTCTGTCTATACCCCCTCAGGTCCTTCCTCTATCTGTCGTTTGTCCCCCTGTCCCTCTGTCTAAACCCCCTCAGTCCCTTCCTCTATCTGTCGTTTGTCCCCCTGTCTCTCTGTCTATACCCCCTCAGTCCCTTCCTCTATCTGTCGTTTGTCCCCCTGTCCCTCTGTCTATACCCCCTCAGTCCCTTCCTCTATCTGTCGTTTGTCCCCCTGTCCCTCTGTCTATACCCCCTCAGTCCCTTCCTCTATCTGTCGTTTGTCCCCCTGTCCCTCTGTCTATACCCCCTCAGGTCCTTCCTCTGTCTGTCGTTTGTCCCCCTGTCCCTCTGTCTATACCCCCTCAGTCCCTTCCTCTATCTGTCGTTTGTCCCCCTGTCCCTCTGTCTATACCCCCTCAGGTCCTTCCTCTGTCTGTCGTTTGTCCCCTTGTCCCTCTGTCTATACCCCCTCAGTCCCTTCCTCTATCTGTCGTTTGTCCCCCTGTCCCTATGTCTATACCCCCTCAGGCCCTTCCTCTGTCTGTCGTTTGTCCCCCTGTCCCTCTGTCTATACCCCCTCAGGTCCTTCCTCTGTCTGTCGTTTGTCCCCCTGTCCCTCTGTCTATACCCCCTCAGGCCCTTCCTCTGTCTGTCGTTTGTCCCCCGTCCCTCTGTCTATACCCCCTCAGTCCCTTCCTCTGTCTGTCGTTTGTCCTCCTGTACCTCTGTCTATATCCTCCACTGTCCTTTCCTCTGTCTTTCGTTTGTCCTCCTATCCCTCCATCTATACTCCTTACCCTATAGTCCCTTACCCTGTTTATAGTTTGTCCACCTGTCCCTCTGTCCATACCCCCTCGGTACCTCTGTCATTTCCTCTGTCTGTCGTTTGTCCTCCTGTACCTCTGTCTATACCCTCCACTGTCCCTTCCACTGTCTGTCGTGTGTCCCCCTGTCTTTACCCTCCTCTTACCCTTTCTCTCTCCCTTCCCTGTCTGACCTTTGTTCTCTATCCCTCTGAACTGTTTGATTGACACTCTAGAAGTTGGTGAGTAAATGAGAAAGTATTCCACTTCATGGATAACAACCCCTGGTTTATTTCATATAGCGACGTTTAAGTGTAGATTATTACACCGTTACACCATACTCCATCTAGAGTAACGGTCCAAGAATCTGCATCGAAACGTCGCTCTATGCAATAAACCTGGGGTTGTTATCAATAAAGTTGTACGTTTCCTTATTTCTCTGTCCCTATGACCCACCCTATCACTATCTATCCCTATGTCCTTGTGTCTGACCCTATGTCCTCTATCTTTGCATCTTTCCACTGTCTGCGCTTCTGTCGGTCCCTATGTGTCTCTTTCTATCCATCAATCCTTCTACCTCTCGGTCTATTCCTCTGTCTGCCCTGCCTGTGATGCCGACAGTCACAGATATTCACATCTAAAACCATGTTTCATGTCAAACACATAAGTCAAGCCACGTGCGTTCTTTTCTTACGGATCGCCCGTTTGAAGTCTAACGTGATGAAAGTGTCTGTGATCAAAAATGGGTAACCGCGCTGAAGGTGCATCTTGTGAATCCTCTGAGCCCAAAGTGTAAACTCGGAATCACTCTGATAGGCGTAATATGTCTCAGAATGCTAGTTTACAGGGGATCGATAAGTCTGATGTGTCTGTAATTCACTTGTTAGAACGTACCGGTGGCTTAGTGAGTACCTTTGCTTAGATTGTTGGCACCACGAAGACCTTATCAGTACAAATTCACATCAAAGAATAAGAAAATATCATGCCTTAGGATAAGGTTAATTGTCACTTATGTTTTCCTCGTTGATCAAAGGTAGGGGCAAATTGCTACCATCGAAGTTTGATAGTTCTATGAAAAGAAACAACGCGAGATGTGGCTTTTTAATGCCAGTACTTTGGGTTAAAGATATTTCATTCCAGACATTAGCAGTGTAATATAGTCATTAATAATTGTAAAATTCGAAAACGTATAATCTCCAGAAAATAACAACTGATATTTTCTCGGGGCATGGTAGCCAAGTGGGTAAAGAAATAGTTCGTCTTGATGAACACTCACTCAATCAGCTTTTACACATCATGTTGTCGTTGATGTGCATGTGATGTATTATGATTTAACAGATTGTGTTGTGGATGCGATAAACCACTCCGATAAGCTGGGTATCACGATCCAATGAATAGGGAACTGACGTCACCTTGCAGGTACTACTTGTAATACGCACCATACATCAATGCGATCCCTACATGCTCCATAAAGTTTTGCCTAGCGTTTCCACTAATTTAGAGAGGGTTTTGCAGATGTGTCGGCGCTTCTGTAAACTGATATGGCTGCAACTCACATAGGCCTTTCGACGTGATTCACGCAGGCATTGTACATGTATTACTACGCGATTGTACATGTATTACTCCGCGGTTACAAAAGTTATTAAATGCTTACCATAGTTATTTTATAATCATAATATGATAACGAACTCTTGCAGCTTGTGTTTGGCATTTTTGAGTTGGGGAAAGTATGTACGTGTGTTTTATTGAGCGTGTGTGTGTGTGTGTGTGTGTGTGTGTGTGTGTGTGTGTGTGTGTGTGTGTGTGTGGGTGGGTGCGTGCATGCGTGCGTGTTAGTGGTGTGTCTGCAAACTTTTTAAGCATACTAAACACAAGAGTGAAAATACAAGATGTTAATATAAACGTTTTTCTGGTTCATTTGTGATATTGTCTCCACACAATTATGCGATAACTGAAAGCGAATCACACAATGCAACCCTACTTTTCCGTCAATGCAATTACAGAGTCATACTCTACTTGAAACATTTACATAGAGAAGTGTTAAAAAGACTAACGAGAACCCCAGATGTTACAAGGATGTATTAAATAATTCTTCAGATCTATCCCGTTCGATCACCCTCCGTCTGGGAAAATGTCATTTGGATACATTCAAATACACCCAGGCAAACATAAGAAACTGGAAGCTTTAAATAAACTACATATGTTGAATAAATGTGACCAACGCGGTAAAACCTGGGTTCATTAGAGATGGGATGTAATCGCTGGTTGCCGTCTAAAGTCGATCTGATCAATGGTAAGGGAACACGGTGACATAATGGTGTCCAGTAGATGAGAACCCTGGTTTGCTAGACGTATCATCAGCCTGTCGATACGACTTCAGAGGACGCATGGGGACAACGTGTCCCTTGATTCTCTTTTAACTGTGAGATTACATCTAAGAGCCTGCCACATCGCCCAGCGACCAATATGTAATGAAAGTGTTATCAAATACCAAAGCGTCTTCAATTCAGGCACAGCAAGGGACGTTTAGGGCGTTCCTTTCATTTCTTTGAAATTAAAGTGGGTACATGGGTTGTTCGACCAAAGGGCATTGATTTTTAAACCTCGCCTTCAAATGTATCAGATCTAGAAGACCATGTCATTAATGGAAGGAGAAATTAAAATACCAATTTACATTCATGAACTAATTAAAACATTTCTTATCAGTTTCCGCTTGTCGACAAAGACAAATATACTTAGATCATGAAGTAAGGTTGCACAGTAGTTGCAGAAGTGCAATTTTTGTTGACAAGTTGCATTTCTCAGCCGTTGAAGGATCCGCTGGTCGGTTGTTTGAAACAATGGTCGCCCCTATTCTGATCCCTGCTTCTTCAGCATTACACGAGAGCGGAAGGTCGGTTGTTCAATCCCCTTCCCGCTCATACCAAAAGACGTTAAAAAAGAACTTGTTAACCTGCCGGGAGGTCGGTATTAGTGGGATCAACCAAGGACTGGTCGGCTCGGAGTCTGAGTGTGAATGCAAGTAAAATTGCTGTTAATTGTACCTGATTCTATGGCCCATATGTCGGTGAACCTGTGTCTTCGTCTACGACCTGTTTCACGTTTCCTCTTTTGCTTAGTTGCATCTTAACTCGCTCACAACAACCTGATGTAAACTAAATTTGCCGTGGAGAGTTGCATACCTTAGTTGTTGAAGGATCCTCTGATCGTCTTCAAAATACTCCGTAGAGACAATGCACGTCCTTCCTGTCATAGGACACTTACGTCATTGTTGGTCTTGGCGCTGTAATGTGCTGAGCAAACCTGGACTCGGTGCTGTACCAATAGACGTTCGCTCGCTCCGTGTCACTGTGGACTGCGGAACGGCGTCAAGTATCAGACAAGTACTCGATTCTAATGCAAATTATGGGAGTGGCGGATGCTACCTGTATGGCTGGAGATGCTTACCTTTTTCGTGAAGGGGCGGTCGGGTAGCCTAGTGGTTAAAGCGTTCGCTCGTCACGCCGAAAACCCGCGTTCGATTCCCGACATGGTGCAATGTTTGAAGCCCATTTCTGGTGTCCCCGGGGGTGATATTGCTGGAATATTGCTAAAAGCGGCGTACAATCAAACTCACTCACTCACTTTTTCGTGAACATATGGTTTTGTTTTGTTTGCATGTTGTTGAACGCCTTACTCAGCAATATTCCAGCTATATGACGGCGATATGTAAATAATCGAGTCTGGAACAGACAATCCAGTGATTGACATCATGAGCATCGACCCACGCAATTGGGATACGATGACATGCATACGACAAGCATTGCTTGCTAAAGACCTATTCTGATCTGGATCTTCAC